GATATGCAGAGTTTATAAAAAGGAAATGGGGCAGGTGTTTAATGTAAATATTACTTATGAAATTATTAGTATTGATGATTGGAAAGTAGAAATCCAAGATATCAAAAGTAAAACTATATTCATGACAAACACCACGACTTTAGACAAGCACTTTATACATGCGTATTGTGCTACATGTCATTCGTCTCAAGGGGCTTCTCTAGATAAAAGCATTACTATACACGAATGGGATAAATCACATTTGGTCAGCCGTGAGTGGATTTGGACAGCCCTCACGAGATGCAGAGATATCAATAAAGTCAAGTTTTTCAAAGCAGGCCTAGATGATACTGACTTAAATGAAGCACAATTAACCAGATATTTAGAACATAAGATTAAACAATATAAATTACAAGACATGAAAGCAGAGAGAGAGATAGACAACAAAAAATATATTGATGTCAAATGGTTATTTGACAGGCTTAATACCAGATGTAATAAATGCAGTTCAGAATTTGACATAGAAATAAATAATGGAGTAATAAATAGCAATATGACAGCCCAACGCAAAAATGGAATCTGTATGCACACGAAAAAGACAACTGCGAAGCGTGGTGCAGATATTGCAATTGTAGTGCTAAATAAATTGGTCTAAAGAAATGATAACTTAAGATAAATATAGTTATTATGGGTGAAAATGAGTATAAAAAAGGACAAATTTATAAGATAGTCAGTCCTGATTTCAGTATGTGCTATGTAGGAAGCACTACCGAAGGTTTAAGCAGAAGACTTGCGCGACACAAAGCAAGTTATAACTACAAACAAAAATATGGAAAGAAAAAAGACTGCTCATGCTTCAAACTATTCAATGAATTCGGTGCTGATAATTGTAAAATCTATTGGATTGAGGATTATCCCTGCAATAGTAAAAAGGAACTGGAAGCACGAGAGGGGTTTTATATTCAACACATGGAATGTGTAAATACGAATGTGGCAGGACGACCAAGGAGTGAATGGCATAAGGAATACAGAGAGAAAAACAAAGAACGACTGGATGAATATTATAAAGAATGGAGTGAACATAACAAAGAACATTTACAAGAGTATAGAAAAGAATATAGAGAAAACAATATAGAACATATGAAGGAGAAAAGCAAACAATGGCGAGACACACGCAAAGAACACAAAAGAGAAACTAATAGATTATACAGAGAGAGAAACAAGGAAATATTGAGGGAGAAGGAGAAAATTCCTTTTAACTGCGGTTGTGGTTCAACTGTTCAAAAAGCAGAGAAAGCACGACATGAAAAAACCAAGAAACACCAAGAATGGCTACAACAACAAGAGCAACCAGAACAAGAACCAGAAGAAAATTAACATATCTTCTTTAGTATTATGAGCAATAGTAAAGAAGATATAATTAGAAATGTTTATTATGATAAAGGAGGCGTCGGGTCAAAGAACCGCACTTTACAAGAAGCAAGAAAAAGGATAACACAATAACTATAAACGATATTAATGAGTTTTTTAGGAAGAATGTAGAACAGAAAGCCAAGCCAAGAGGACAGAATTCATTTGTAGCTCCTAACGCATACTATGAGTTTCAAATTGATTTATTTTTCATTAATGATATCCCTAAACAAAAAATGAAAGTTGGCATGATGTGTATTGACATATTTTCTAAGTATATGGTTGTTGTCCCGCTTATGTCAAAACAGCCAGCGGACATTTTAGCAGGACTGATGGAATGTATTAAAAAAAAATGGATGGACAGCCCAAACTAATTTATATTGACGACGAAGGAGCTTATAACAATCAAAGTGTTATAGATTTCTTGAAGGGTGAAAAAATAGAGTTGCACAGAACCAGAGGACACCCAGCATTTGCGGAGAGGGCAATAAGGACGTTTAAAGATAGCTTGTATAAGAGGGTTGAAAACGATGAGAAAAAAGGAAAGGCTATTCAATGGACAGACTACATACACGAGATTATATTAACTTATAACAATGGAATAAAGCACACTTCGCACGGCTTAACACCGTCAGAAGCAAGAAAGCCTAAACACCAATTAGAAGTGAGTTTAAATTTAGGTATGAAAGCCAAAAGAAATAGAGTTTATCCAGATTTAAATGTAGGAAATGAAGTTAAGATATTCAGGAAAAGGAGGCCAAATGAAAAGGAGAGAGTAGGAGTATGGACTAAACAAACCTACAAAATAGCAAAGATTGAAAAGAAGTTAGGACAGGAATATTATTATATTGAAAATTATGACAGGGCATTTTTGAGACATGAGTTATTAAAGGTATAAATTTATTTCTTGGAAAAAAGTATTAAGAAATAAAAACTATATATATTATAATAGAAATGGTGGAAACCAAAATCAATAGTTATGTCAATAAGAAATGCTACGATTGTTGCCACTTTAAAAAAGAAAATATGGAATTATATAAATTGAATTTACCTAATGGAATAGTTAATAATGTTACTGATTATTCAATGGATGAAGAAGATATATGCGAAAATTGTAAAACCTGGAGAGATAATCAAGAATTAATCAGATGTCATTTAAATCTGAAAAGAAGACATAATAGAAATGTTGAAGACGACATTATAATATTTTTAACTGTGTATGAAAGACCACCTTATAGTTATGTTAGAATATTTCTCAAAATCAGTAAGAAAAAGTATGAACTGATTAACCACATTTTATGGATATTGTTACATTGTAGAAGAGAAGGGTGTGATGTAAAAGAAGACATTAAATCAGAAATTGAAAGCAAAAAGTTTAATGTGAAAAATACAGTGAGAGATATTAATCGTATTTTTGAACTGATGCATGACAGACGTAAGATATATACACAATTTAATAATCATCAATTAACTTATTATCCTGAACTTAAATTATAACCATACTATAATAATAACATGTAAAATGTTATATGTTATAATTATATTTCAATATTTAATTTTATTTCTTGTAAAAAAGTATTTAAAGAAATATAAACTATATATATATTATAATAGAAATGGTGGAAACCGAAATCAATAATTATATCAATAAGAAATGCTACGATTGTTGCCACTTTAAAAAAGAAAATATGGAATTATATAAATTGAATTTACCTAATGGAAAAGTTAACATATTATTGATTATTCTTTGGACGAAGAAAATATATGTAGAACTTGTAGAAGATGGAGACGATATCAAAATATAATAGAAAATTGTTTGGCGTTTAAAAATATAGATGAAATAAATGTTGAAGACGAAATATTGATATTTTTAACTGTGTATGAGAGACCACCTTACGATTATGTTAAACAGTTTCTTAAAATCAGTAAGAAAAGGTATGAAATGATTAATGACATATTATGGATGTTGATTTATTATAGTAAACCCGGCGTTGATGTAAAAAAAGTCATAAAATCATATATTGAAAGTGAACGGTTTAATGTTAAAAATACAGTGAGAGATATTAGTCTTATTTTTAAAATGATGTATGAAAGAGGTAAGATATATCAATTAAATTATTATCCTGAAATTGAATTATAATCATAATATAATAATAACATGAAAATATTATATGTTATAATTATATTTCAAAATGTAATTTATTTCTTGTAAAAAAGTATTTAAACAAATAAACACTATATATATATTACAGTGGAAATGTTATTTAATTATTCAAAGTGCGAATGTTGTAAAACTAAAAGGAATGATGTTAATATAACATTGTATAAGTTATTACCCGCCAATCTATGTAATAAAATAAGTGAATATGATGTATATTGTAATCAATGCTGTATAACAAGAGACCTTGAAAAGTTTTTTGTTGAAGAACATAAGGATAAGGGATATACAAAGTTTCAATTACAATTGAAATTCTTTATGAGATACCAAAAACGATTTCCTGTATGTTGTTACCATAAAATTGCTAGAAAGTCATTTGAAGAAGAAATTGATGAGTTCTTTAATAATAAAGATTTAATTAAGAGGTTTGGAGGGGCAAACGCAATTAAACCATATAAAGCATTTGTTAAAAAAATTCGAGACATGTTTGAAGCGATTGATTGGCATTTATTAAGTAAAAATAAAATAAACGAGGTCTTGAATGAATTTAGAATAACTAAATATCATGTATGGTCTTACTACAACACTAAATATCAAGTATGGCTACTAGTTTATTTGTTTTTCTGGGAATATATTTATTCAATAATAGGAAAAGACAATATCAAATATATAGACATTGGTGATATTGATAAATATGTAGATTACATATTTGAAGACATTTTTCCTGACTATAAATGTAACCCATAATTCTTAAGCATACTATAATAAAAACATTTATACCCTTATATGTTAGAATTATAATGTAAGTATAGCGTTTTATATATTGAAGATAAAATCCTACAAGGGACACCACGCCTAAAAAAATATATGATAAAAGTGATGAAACGAAGGAGGGGGGTGATGTTGTTGCTGTTCTATTTTTTGTCCGAGAAATGGACAAATCGTTTTTAGACAGTTCGAATATTTTTTTGATGACAAATATTTTTTGCAATATATTTTGCAAAATCTATTTTTTTGAAATGGATGAGGTGAGGAGATTGAGGAAATGACATTTTGAAGGGTAGTTGGTGAAATGAATGAGGCGAGGAGGAAGGAGAAAAGGATGGCGAAAATTTTGGAAAAGTGATGAAAAAAGAAACGGATGAGATGGACAGAAAGGAATGTAGAAAAATGATGAAAACGAATAAGGGTAGAAGATGGAAAATGACAAAAAATGTAGGGGGGGGTGTATGTATGAAAGCAATTTATTGCTAGGCAAGGCCCCCGACTACTTAATTGTGGCCAAATTTGGCCCTGTGAACCATGTCCACCAAACAAACCTAAACTCTTGTTCGTTCTTTGCTGTTGTTTTTGCTTGTTCTTTTTTTGTGGGGGACGGGGGGGGGTTTAGTTCAGGTTGACAAAGCAGGCTCGGCGGAAAGATTTTCTCGGCGCATGGAGAGGCATCATCTTCCTCGGACAGGGCCAGCAGCTCGCTGATGCTGGCACACATGGCCAAGGCCTCGTCCTGCCGAGCACAACTCCAGCACGGGGACGCTAAGGCAGCTAAGCAATATGCGAGAACATGGCTACTGCATAGACCCTCCAGCAAAGAGCATTGGTATCAGGGTTGAGTGAGCATATGCTGTCACAAGCATTCGGGATGCGTTTAAATCCGCACGGAGATGCTTCATTTGCATGTATGTTCAGCTCTTCGGGCTCGCCCATTTCATGAGTCACGTGCATGTTGCTTTCATCTCACGGTTGACTACTGCATTGACTGCTCTGCCAGGCTCTTGGCATTCCGGTGAAAATCACCCAGTGTTGCTTCTGCGCTTCTTGCATGAACCTTTCCACGGCAATCCCTTCTCCCTAATAAACGTGGACCCCCCGCCTAATAAGCACACTTCGTGGCACAAATCATATTACTTCATGGGGTCCTGTGAAATCGACCGGATTTCCTTCTTCGGTCCTCGTCCAAATGGGCTCCCCCCTTACCGGACACGAAAAACCTCCAAATCAGCTGCAAGGCCGTGAGGGCATTGAGCTCCACCTTGCAACCCGAAGCAAAGGAGCGGAGCTCATGCCATGTTGACAGTGAATTCCGCAATGTCACCTGCTCGGTCCGGCCAACCACGTCCAGGACGAATGCCCGCATGGCGTCCCTCTCATTGGCTGTAGAAGGTCTGTGGCTAGAGCAAGCCAACATGATGGCCAGCAACTGGTTCTCACCCACCGTGTCCGACGAAGAGGACGCCTCGTAGGAGCTAGGTGGGAGATGGGACGTAACCACCACAGGCTCAGGCCGGCTCCTCAGCCGTGGGCCGACGGCTTTGGAGCAGGGGGAGGCACCCCCAAGGCCATGACCGGCCTCGCAGTAACAGCCAGACCGACTGAACTGCGGTTACGAGCCTGCTGCCAGGCATTGGCAACAGCGCGACCAGCATCGCGGAGGGCCTCATCAAAGGTGAGGTAAATGAAGGCCAGGTCCATCTCATTGGCCACACCTTGCTGACGGCACCAAGTGGCCACTCTGGCCTCTTCCTCCGCACAGATGAGCGCCGCTTCGTCAGCCATATGCGCAGGGCCAGGCAGACCCGGAGGCAGAGGTCAGACAGACCAGTGAAACAAACTTGGTATCCAAAACTCCGAGGTTCTTCAAACCTTGACCAGACCGGCCATTTTGGATCTTTGAGCCTAAATGCATAGAGAGGCATTTTGGCTGTCAGTTGAAACAAAGGCACTTCACCGAACCTGCCAAACCTAAAAGTGGCATAAGAATTACAATTCAAGAAATAATTGTACATGTGTAAAAGGCAAGTATGCATTTACAGTTTGGTATTGGGTTGTGCAAGGAGCCCCCTAACAAGGCTGGGGCTGGTCTGGGCAGAGACATCGGACAGTTTAGCATTGGTTTTGAATTGGGCTATTCTACAAGTAGTGTTCAGGACCTGGCTGTTTCAGTCAGTCTGGAACAAACAGTTTTTTTGTTTTAAGGGTGAATGTATTCAAAAAGGGGGAAGGGCTTAGCATGTCACTGGATCTTACTCAAAAAAGCACATTGATTGGGTCAGTTTGCATGGATTCATGGCGAAGCGCTGACCCAATCAATCGCTTGTGGCCTGGGGAAGCCGCGGCTTCGTAGCCTGGGGAAGCCGCGGCTTCCGATTGAAAAATCGGTCCATGCAATCCCGTGGCCGCGGCCAGACCCTTCCGCCGGCCTTCGGCCAGACCGGGGGCCTGTCTTAGGTGTTTGGTATTCCTTCCACCGAATGAATGCGCAGAATCATGTATGTATGTATGTATGTATGTAGGTATGTGTGTATGTATGTATGTATGTATATGTATGTATGTATGTATGTATGTATGTATGTATGTATGTATGTATGTATGTATGTATGTAATGTATGTAATGTATGTAATGTATGTAATGTATGTAATGCATATAATGTGTGTAATGCATGTAATGTATGTAATGTATGTAATGTATGTAATGTGTGTAATGCATGTAATGTATGTAATGTATGTAATGTATGTAATGTAATGTAATGTAATGTAATGTAATGTAATGTAATGTAATGTATGTATGTATGTATGTATGTATGTATGTATGTATATGTATGTATATGTATGTATGTATGTATGTATGTATGTAATGTATGTAATGTATGTAATGTATGTAATGCATGTAATGTGTGTAATTCATGTAATGTATGTAATGTATGTAATGTAATGTAATGTAATGTAATGTAATGTACTGTAATGTAATGTATGTATGTATGTATGTACGTATGTATGTATGTATGTATGTATGTATATGTATGTATGTATGTATGTATGTATGTCTGTCTGTCTGTCTGTCTGCATGTATGTATGCGTGCGTGCGTGCATGCATGCATGCATGCATGTATGTATGTATGTATGTGTGTGTGTGTGTATGTATGTATGTATGTATGTATGTATGTATGTATATGTATGTATGTATGTATGTATGTATGTATGTATGTAATTTATGTAATGTATGTAATGTATGTAATGTATGAAATGCATGTAATGTGTGTAATGCATGTAATGTATGTAATGTATGTAATGTATGTAATGTAATGTAATGTAATGTAATGTAATGTATGTATGTATGTATGTATGTATGTATGTATGTATATGTATGTATATATGTATGTATGTCTGTCTGTCTGTCTGTCTGTCTGTCTGCATGTATGTATGCGTGCGTGCGTGCGTGCATGCATGCATGCATGCATGCATGTATATGTGTGTGTATGTATGTATGTATGTATGTATGTATGTATGTATGTATGTATGTATGTATGTATGTATGTATGTATGTAGGTAGGTAGGTATGTATGTATGTATGTATGTATGTATGTATGTATGTATGTATGTATGTGTATACATGATGTTGCAACGTGTAGTAACGTTTGTTTGTTTCTTCATCTGTTCTCTGTATATCCTGGATGGTGGATTGCAGGGGTCGAGGTACAGTCTCAGAACGTTTGTCGGTCAACACCCTGGTAGATTCCGGTCTGGGCCCACTTGAATTCTCCAAACTGTTTACCCACACAATAGCAAGCTTAGAAATCCAATTTTGGTTGAAGCTCCGAATGGCCTCAAGGCTGCTCATGCATGCAAGTGCCCAAGCCCCCCTTCTCAGGGCTCTTTGTTTGCCACTTCTTTGGGAAAGATTGGGCTCCATGCCTCACCATGAATCAAGCACCACTTTTCGGGGGCACCCACCATGCGTTTGCCCGAGTTTGCCCCAGGTTCTAGCCTTACAAAAAAAACATGTATTTGTTTCACGTGAGGTTCCGGTACATTCAGAAACATAATTATGAGGCATCGGTTTTGGGCCGCATCCGACTGAGGTCGCAAATGCAATTTGTCAAACCAACGGATTGGGCTGTTCACCGCCAAAGGCATTAACTTTATGAAACGTCCTGGACGTAACCGGGCTCAGCTATATTGGGGCCATTTATCTCAGCTCGCGACAAAAGTCCAAGGTCAAGCTTGAACCATGACAAACACTGGACATCGGCCAACTTGTGAAGCTCAAACACACAACTTGTCTGGAAAATTTCTCGCGAACGACCTATGAGTCTTGATCCGGCCAAACAGGCCAAGTGGGGCAGGCAAACGGGGGAATCGCATTGCAGGAAGCAGGCTCGCAACCAAGCTGGGGCTGATGTGGCCGTGGTAGGCCAAACAACATGTGCTCAAAATCGTCTACTCACGCCATGTAAAGAATTGAAAAGGCGGATATCCGCAGCCGCGCCAAATTCGGGTTGGAACAGTCCCTTGCTAGCCTTCACTTCACCCCTACTCCACATGCCCACATGTTTTAGGGCAATTATTCTTGATAGACATTGTTCCATGGTAAATGGCCCCTTTGTTTGAAGAGGGTTGACCTCAAAACCAACCCCACGGCTACTTGGAGGTTGTGGGGTACCTGATGACTCAAACACCTACGAGCCAAAGGTCCGAACTGCAAGTTGGGGCTGGAAGGAGCCTTTGGTTGATCTTAAAGGGACACTCCACCAAAAAAGCAAGGAAGCAAGGACACAGGATATGAGTAATTAAGGAGAAGCACCTGTGTGGATTACAGCTCGGGGCGAAGGAGATATATCATAAACAAGTAACAGGCTTTTAACAATCCAACTCCAACATGGCGGGATATACTGCAGCGGCGTACGTACAGAATTGGAATGGGGCTGTGGGGAGACTTTGAAACCACATTCCGTCATGACTACAGGGGAATACGTTTAAGTAATTAATAACTATTTGGCCCCTTGTCTTCAAATAATGACTTCGCTTAGCCTTTTGATCAGGATGAAACATGGCTGCCAAAAATGGAACTGAGTTTATGAATCGAGGCAAAATGAGCGATTTCCCCCCACACTGTCTAGCTTCTTCAGGGATGGTGCATGGAGGAGAGGCACTGTTCAAAGGATAAATTCTCTTCACCCATTTCAGAATCTGAAGCCGCCCAGTTTGCCAGGATACGTGTATCTGATGAGAAGGATGGGGACAGCTGGCTTTCAAACCAGGTTCCTTTGCAAAAACACATATGCTCTGAGCCCTTGAGTAAACCAAGCAAGAACCCTTGAGCATCACAAAAACGTAAACAAAGTCCCTTTGTGCCAAGTAGGTGCCGGAAACAACAAATAACAGAAGCATCCCTTTTGGGTTCCTTTTGACCCGCGGTACCGTCACTCATGGCCCAATCGTCGAGAAGGCAGTGGCCATGTCCAAACGTGCCTGTCTACCGCACCCTTTCAGAATCAACACGACATGGGCGGCAAGGACCCGCGGTACCTTCACTCATGAGCCCTTTCTCCTGCACGCTGCCAGCCGCCAAGACCGCCAGGGACCGAAGCGGCCCGCGCCAGCCCCGCGCGCCGATGAAGTCCTGAGGCAGAGCTCTGAAATGGCGACCCTCGATGAATCAACCTGGTGGATTCAAACAAAAACCTGTCCCCCCCGGCCAAGTGTTCCGGATCTCCCCTTATGTAAAAGGAATTGAGTTCTGGGCAAAACGCCAGAGCCAGCTGAGTATGAACTTCAGTTGGGGACCTCTGGCGGACATCATCTAGGTGGAAATTGTGTAAATCAACCACATATACGGGAAGATGTTCTATTCGCATTGCGTCGTGCATCCAAAGTCAAGCTTCCGTAGAGCCCGCAGGCATGCAAGCATCTAGAAACATCCCCGCAAAGAAAGCTGAGCTAAGATCGCGAAAAAACGCGTACATGCGGACCCCTATCGGGAAGCTGTTGCTATTTAGCCCGCCCGTCTTCCCGCAATGGGCTGGCTATTGGCAGTTGTCACCTTTTCAAACCCCAACTCAAACAAAGTCGATAAGCCCTTGGCATAAAACACATCTAGGTACTTGTGGCTTTGCTGTGTTTGCGGAGGCCAGCTGCGTGGGCGAATAAAAACCAGGCAAATTCAGCAATTGCGGCGAAGGGGGGGGCAATGCCCTTAGATGTTTGCTTCTGCTCGCTTGCGAGCATGATACCGTGCGGGAACCTTCAACGCCTGGACCCGAGGCAGTTTAGGATGTTAAGTGCACAGCACAGCACCGACATCCGTACAGCACGGCCCTTAAACGACGCATACAGCCTATGCGTCATTGGCATGCGCCTGAATGAGTGCCCCGTTCGAAGGGAACCAAACTGAAGAAATGCGGCGGCAATGAAGGAAAGTGGCCGACAGGAGAGGTCAGCCCTGAACAAACGCTAACAATCACAACTCGGCTTCAATTGTCATATCTGCGCGAGATCAGCTCAAACGATCCCACGTCCGAACACACCAGCTGCAAGTGTGAATTGTGTGATTGTCCGCATATAGCTGCTACTCCCCACCTGTCGCATGAGCTGGGGAAATGCAGCGAATGGTCCGGATGTAGCTAAATGAGGTCCATAGGTGGGTGAACAGAAGTTTGACTGGGGACCATCTATGTAGCCGACAGCAGCGATACTTTTTGCAGACGAGTTTCAACCACTGCCGAGCAGTCTGCGTGGATCGCGAACAGCACGCCTACCTGCACACACACACACACACACACACACACACACACACACACACACACACACACACACACACACACACAAACTGCTCGCAGTTACAGTGGGCCACGGCAAGCACTTGGAAGCAGCGCGACAATTAATGACGAGGCTTCCGAGCGACCCTGCAGACCAACGGTTGGTGTTGACAATGACCCAGGATGAATCACAAGCCTCCGGTTGACTACGTGTCCAAGAGGGACACCTTACTTTCGGCGCCCCTCTATTCAACCGCCTGGTTGATTTGTCCAAGATTGGCAGTATGACACCCCTGTCAGACGCCACCAAGAAACCCCCAAGCGATGCATACAGCACTTCTGCGCGGTACTTCTGTCCGCAATTTCTGAGTGACATAACACCTATACCCAGCATTTCTGAGCGACACTGGGGGATCGGCACTTCTGTCCGGCACTTAAAATGAGCTGTCACCCAAGACGTTGACAACGTTGAAGTGGACAATGGCAACTGCGCAGCGGAGTTCAAACTGGCTGTACGCAATCATTGGGTGGTGTGAGCCGCCCCCTTTGCTCCAAACAAAACTCTGCTGCCTCCTCCCCGCGCGTGACGAACATTCCTGGCTCCAGGGTGTTGAGCTCACTCAGGCGCAGAACGCCTCGCGCGAGCGCGCGGGGCGTTTGGCGGCTCCCGCTGCAAGAACTGCGGGAAGAGCCGACAGTCTCTGTAGACAGGGGCAGGGGCCAGCTGTTTGTCCAAGAAGAAAATTAAACACGTTGTTTGTTCCATGAATGAACCACTCGCAGGGGTTTGAGTCCTTCTGTGGAGTAGCCAAAAAGTCGAACCCTTCGCAGGCCCCCTTTGAAAGACAAGGGTTGCGGAAGGTCAGTGTCCAAGCAGAATCACGGCCAGAGCTTTAGCAGCTCTGAGCTGTGAAACTCAGGGCTTGCGCAGAAATGTTCGCTCCTGATTGGAACAAGGACCTGCCACAAGAGAAAAGGACGTGGGCGCGTCGCCCCAGTTGACCTGGCAAAGCTTCCGAGGGAACTGACTCAAGGATTCTTTCACAGCTAAGCCTTGTAAGGCCATGACTGAACCATAATCATTGTCCCTACAACATCAATTGCGCCTCCCCCGCCGACCTGGAACATCATAGAACCGAATGTATGGCGCTCAAAGCAAGCCTGTGGAGTGTACTTGCCCCCCTCACCAGGGACATAGGAGTGGTCTATATGCCATCAACTGTCATGGTCATGTATTTTGGCCGCTGATATACCTAAATGATAAACGTATGTATGTGCTCGGCCATGGTTGAAGGAAGGCCCTGGCAAGTCACATCACCATATGTAATATCGCGTGCATCCCAGCGTACGTGACAGTAATGAATGGCAAGGTGCATACCACGGGAATCTATTCCCTCGCGTCACCCTTTCAGAAAATCCCAATCATCATTGGTTTCTTAGCGACGAGGCATCCATTCCTTACGAGTAGCCACGGTCCAAAAGGCTTTCCTGTGGGTAGTTGTGAAAGGGCATTCAAACAGAAAAGGCCGCTGCCGGGAAACTAGCATTCCATCTGCTCCGGGCATCTCCGGTTGCATCACTGGCCATTGGGCCATTAGGCTCATCAATCATTTTCCCGTTCCGCTGCGGCCTTGGGCGAGTGCCTGGTCAGCTTCTGCTGGCGACAGGAGGACATCCTTCGCACGCTCCATCTGTTCTCCACCCAAACCTATGGATAACTCTTGCGCAGCACCGTGCTTTCATCTCCAACTGGGCAGCTGGCACGCTTCCTTGCTCACGATTTATACACCCCTTTCTTTCGCCCTTCGCGGGGATTCCCCGACACCAGACATCCCAATTTTCAAGACATGGGTGGCTTTTTTCAGGAAACCATCGGGGTTGTTGGAAGGGAAGCAGGAACGCCCATCTTGCAGATTTCCCTTTGGGACAAACCAAAATATCAAAGGCATGGCCGACATACTGCGAGCACACCGCACTTCCAATGAGTCGAGCCGCCTCGATGCCACGCTTCAAGCCGCATCGAATGCAGAGGCCCAGGTCGTTGCTTTGCACAACCATGCCTTGGCTGCCAAACGATGCGCTCGCCATTGCAAGCTCAACTCCGGGTCATGCGTGGGAATCAAAAATGACAATGCAAAAGTTAAATTGCAAACGCAATGCCTATAGTGACTGCACAACAATGAAGGCACCTTTCTGAATTTGCCAGGCTAAACTCAAAATGTGCCCAAACAGGGCAGAATCCATTTGGACTTTCTAGCTTCTAGAGTTGCAAAACATCGAAAATCGACCTAGTTTCAGTCCAAAAAGACGCGCCGGGGGAGGTAGTGATCTGCTATCGGGAGGGGCAAGCGAAAGAGATTCAATCCACAACCCACAAGATGCTGGAATCCAAGCTGAGTTTTGCCTTGCCAACCTTGCAGAACATGTCGCACGCTCCCAGATACATTGTGGGATACTTTGACGCGGCTTGCCTTAATAGTCTACACAGCCCTCCTGTGATGTGATGGGCTCTGCTTGGATCCATGCGAACAGCGGCCAAAACCCATTGGCGGTTAGTTCTACCACATGCGCTCCTGGCAAGGGACCTCAATAATTCTCTTTTAGACCACACCCTGACTAGCGCCGCAGCACAAAACCGGGCCCTGCAAGAAAGTTAAGCATTTCTTGGCTGAAGGTGTTGGATAGCCAAGTCTGCCACTGAGCATTGCAGAGGCGCCATCTAGCTCCTCGCCATTTTTGTAGGTCACCAGGTCCCCCACCGCAGGCCGTTCGACGGAAGGGGCGGCCTTGCTGAGGTCTTGAAGCTTTGCGCGCTGCTTGCAGCCGTCCGGTGTGAGCAGCTCCTCGGACCCCATTCCAAGTGCCCCTGCCAACATACTCCGCACCAAGGTCAGCAAGGGCCTGGAAAGAAATGCAACAGGCCTGGAAACACCTTCCGCGCCAACTTGAAAGGTCTTGAATTCCCAAACCAGAGTTCAAACATTGCTATAGTTGCGGGCGATCGCTACGCTTCTTGTCAAAAGAGGTCCTCCCAACGCTATCCTGAAGGCCGGAAGCGTGCGGGGGCTCATGCCGCCCCTGGACAAACACACGGGACAAAAAACACCCACTGTGCACAAAGCCCCTTGAACGCACGCATCTTCATCTCTGCAATCATACTGGTTGCATCTGGATTTGCAACTAGATATGCAACTGTGCAACTAGCTGATCACTTGGGCACTATCATATGCCGCAACTCAGGCGTTCAGGGTAGGCTTAACAATTCATTCGGGCGCATGACCCCCGTTCGCTTGAACCATCAGCATGTTTACTGCAATGTGTCGGATGCATGAGTCGGGCTTGGACTTCCCTTCAGTCATCACCAAAAAAAACTTTGACCTGAAGAGGGGAGGGGCCCCTTGATTGGTTGGTTGCTACCGCTTGGCCTTTTGGAAAGCAAAGGCCATCCCTGGCACGAGGTTGATAAACACGCTGGCCGCAGGCCTGACATCTTTGGCCCATCGCTCCCCCGGCTTGGCAATCAGCAAATTATTATCCAGACTCTACACGCCACCGTGATTCCATGTCAAGCTCTGTGAGTGCGTCTCCCTTCTGCTCCATTTCCCGAGTGACTCTGCTCGAAGGTGTCTACTCAAACGTTTGCCGATCCGGAGAAGCTATATGAAGAACTTCAACCAACGATTCTCCCGCTGCCTGAGTTCGCCACTGCCCAGCAGGGGCGACCCGTCTGGGTCTCTCATGAGGGGCGCCCCACGGCTGGTTCTACTGAATGCGTAGATTGCTGATATTTCCAGTAGTGATAGATAGATTCCCTTCAAAACAAAACCTATATTCTAAAGGCTTGTGATACCGAAGCGGTTGCTCCCTTCTTTCAGCATCGGTTGAGCGCCCAAAATGCGCAGAACGGCCCCATGCTACAAGCGCCCCAGATTCAAGCTCAGCTGCTCCTGCACCGACCCAGATTCAAGAATGGCAGCAAAAGCACCGTAAGTTGCTTGGATGCGCTGGACGTTCCTCAGCTGCTCTTGCACCTGTCTGCTGTCTCCGCCATACTCTGGGTTGCCCCAGGTCACAACAGCCCCAGATTCAAGAATGGCAGCAAAAGCACCGTAAGTTGCTTGGATGTAACGGACGTTCCTTAGCTGATCTTGTACCTGGCTGCTGTCTCCGCCAGTTTCAAAATCAGCCCAGGTCACAACGGACCCGGATTCAAAAATGGCAGCAAAAGCAGCATGGACAGTTGCTTGGATGTGCTGGACGTTCCTCAGCTGCTCCTGCACCTGGCTGCTGCCTCCGCCGAATTCTGGATCACCCCAGGTCACAAAAGCCCCAGATTCGAGAATGGCAGCAAAAGCACGGCCAGCCTAGCTGCCAGCTGATTGAATGTGCTGGACGTTCCTCAGCTGCTCTTGCATCCGGCTGCTGTCTCCACCACTTGCTGCATCACCCCAGGTCACAACCTTGCCCTCGGGGTCATGCCAAGAGAATGCCTGATGAGTGACAGCCAATTGGCCCAGCTGCACAACTGCAGCCACTATGTGCCCATCTCGCAACCCGGCCTCGCACAGCGTAGCTGTCAAATTCGGCTGGTGGCCTTTCGCAGTGAGCTTCAGGCGGCGCCGGAAATGCTGCTGCACTGCTGCCTTCAGCTCACTGACAGGCGCCGCCGGTGAGAGTGCAATGGAGCAGCCATCGCCACTGGCCAAGTAAACACCCACATTCATGGCGCAGGAAGGTACTCCTGGGAAAATTCATGCTGCTAAACACGAAGCTGAGACGTACAAACCTGTGAGTTTGGGAGACTGTCGAAATGATTTAACACACCCATGGAAGAAAATATTCCTCGTTGGGCTTGAACCATTCCCCTCCGTGAGGACCGTTCCCAGCTGTCTAACCGGACCTTTATGACTTGAGTTCCTTGGCTGAAGCCCGAGATGTCAGCAGTTCGCTGGCAGACAGAACGACACCAATCCGCTGGCAACCGGACCCACAGAAAGGCGGATCGTAGCTTTCAAACCCAAAGGAGAATACCCGAACCCAGGGTAAGTTGAAGGCGACAAGCTCTCCGCGAATCCAAATTGCGCCCAACTTAAATGGTCGGGGAGTCACGGTTTGCTTCGCCAGCTGCTCTCGAATAAAAATCACCCTATACTAGCGATTGACGAAGGATCCCAGGATTTGACTCACCGCAGTAAGGGTACTCCAAAAAATCTGACACGCCCTTCTCTCTCCGAGCGTCCACCACGGCGCAGAAAGGCGCCGCCCGCCCGCACACTACGGCGCGCTCGTGGCGCCCATATCGCACTCGGCTGCCAGGCCGGGACAGGAGCTCTTTGGCATAGTCCTCACTCAAGGCTGCGAACTTGAAGTTGAGACCCAAGACCCCTATGGCACAAATTGTTCTCCATCCCACTTCGCCACTACTACACTCCAAGAAGGGGGTACGTCTTCATTTTCTGGTGGGAGACTAGTGACCGCCATCTGCAGCTGGGGCTAGTTGCTTGGGGCTGGGGCGCGGCCTTTTACGCAATGGTTGCTAAGCGGCCGCGCAAGGGGCCCCCTAAGTGAATTCACCTTGGCCTAAGTCCTAGTAGGGTCCAAGGGCCCGCCTCGAGTGATCATTGGCAACCTTGCAAATTAATACGTATCGCGCAAGTAGGTCTTGGCCAAGAAAACCAAGGTGGGCTCCACATGGCTGTAGCTTCAGTCTAACTGGCAAGCTGTTCTGGCAGCGAGCGCGCGCAGACCCCAATGTCTTGAGAGGTTCATATTGGCTGTGGACAAGCAGGGGATTTGTGCATGGACATGTACTGGGGAAACTGACATGGCGGTGAGCGCAAAGGACTGCTAAGTACAAAAGAACCTGATTTTGCAGTCAGTTTTCTCCATGAAAGCGATGATTCCATCAAAATTAACTCCGAGGCCAGGCTGAGCGTTGTCCAGCCGGAAAGACATTCCATATTTTTCGTTGCTTAAGCCCCGTGGAAAAAGAAGAAAAAACACCCGGTAGCGATAGATTCCCTTTAAAACCAACAGGGAAATGAAGTGCCAACGCCCAGTGGCCGGGCGCAGGGCGGCGCGTGGAAGCCACACGGCCGCCTCGAGGTCTGGAAAGGCAATAGCGGCCTCCGAGTCACAAGCCACGACGCAGCCGGTGAGGCCCTCCCAGTGGACGAACCTCCAAAGCTCAGAGGGTTCAGAGGGGGGGGAGGATTTCCACCAATTTCAGCACCCAAAGGGAGCTCACTTAAAGGGGCGGAAGGGTGAGGTTAAAAACCAGGTCTAGCTTGCAACCACCTTCTTGCAGGGTGTTTGCTTTGTTTGCTGTTTCTTTTCTGCAAAAGAGACTTTGTGCCCATCCCCCCCCCTCCCCCCGCAAAGCAAGCACTAGCAGTCAAAGGTTTCTGTTTAGTCAGATTTTGGCAGGGCTTGAGTAACTCACAATTCACCGTTGCCAATGCCAAAACTAATGTTGTTTAGTTGGGTTTGGGCCTTTGGCTTGAGTTTGCCAAATACATTTACTTTAGTACTGTCAATACTTACTTTGATATTGCTCGCTTGGGAGTTGGCCTGGGTTTGGCCTTCTTAGATGACTTAGCATGACCAATGCGAATTCCAGATCGGGCCAAGCCTTTGAGTTGGGAAGCGCCTGCGCCGGGAAGATTCCTTGTGATATCAAATGGCGGTGTACTTTTGTAGCGGACCCAGAAAATTGCTGGCTTTCCTCTTGGTGCCCCTTTTAACCAAACGAAAAGGGAAAAAAACAACCCCAATATGAATGGCTATGAATTTCAAGCGGGAACCACCTCAAAAGTGATTGGTGGACATGAATCCCCACCAAATTTTGATGGGCTCAGATTTGACCACCCCGAGGAAACAAAGTCTTGAAAGGTCGCAGATTCTGCCTTGGGGGGGGCAAGCCTTCTATACAGGTCCAACATTACTGTTCAATGACCAGCTTGCATAGGGCCACGGTCAAGTTGCTCAAGCACTTTTGCCCAACCCTGCTAATTGTGCGAGGGCCACTTTGCAACTAGATGCAACTAGCATGGGATAAAGCAATGCCCCTTCGTGCAGTACAGCACTGTATTCCTAGAGCGTTTCTCGACGTGTCAGGGAAGAAGGCTTCAACTTCCTTCCTGTTTCATGGTTGCCGCTTGCAAGAAGATTCCTATACGAGCCTCGGCCAAGGCTCAATTGTGCATGATAGGGGTCATGCATATTAATATTAATTCCTGGCTCACGTCTTGTTTTCATTGCGCGTATTCAAAACCTAAAAAGTGGACCTCGAAAAAAATGAGCCATGAAACCCTTGCGCTTGCCAATCATGTGTCACGAATCACAAGCTTTATATGATCCTTGGATCACGCTGCGACTTGCCCTTGGGGATCGCAAGGGCGGGATCTCTCCGCGAGCTACGGGATTTGAGCGCGAGCAGGCGAAACGCCGCTCCTGCATCTGGCTGCTGTATCCGCCCCAGCCTGAAATACCCCATGTGACAACAGCCCCAGATTGATTGGATGTGCTGGACGTTCCTCCGCTGCTCTTGCTGGCTGCTGTCTGCGCCACAGTCTGCACGACCCCACGTCACAACCTCGCCGTGTCCATGCAAAGCAAACGCCTCACTAGTCGCAGCCAATTGGCCAAGCTGCACAACCGCAGTCACCATGTCCCCATCTCAAAACCCGGCGTCATCCAGCGTGGCGGTCAAATCGAGCTGCTGGCCTTTCGCAATGAGCTTCACGCGGTGCTAAAATTGCTGCTGCGCTGGAATTGCTGCTGCGCTGCAGCCTTGAGCTCGCTGATGAGCGTCGCTGGTGAGACTTCAACGGATCAGCCATCTCCACTGGGTAAGTGAACATTCACCTTCTGAGCGTACGGCTGAAACACCAAAGCATGCAAAGTGGGGTGGCCCTTTGATGAACTGCATTTGAAAGGACATTCCGACCATTTGTGAGGGCTGAAATCCTTGAGCACACCAATGCAAGAAGAGATCCCTTCAGGGGCCTTGAGCCGTTCACTCTGAGGACCCTCCTGGCTATCTGCAGCTGGAGCCCGAGATAGGTGTCAACGATTTGGCAAATGCCAACAAAACCTCAAGAAAGAATCAGCAGGAAAGCCAATGGGTCTGTCTTTTCTTGTTTGGTGGTTATAATCAAAAGGGAAACCAAAAGGAACATCACAAGTTTGTTCCTTTTGTTTTTTTTTTTGGGGGGGGGGGGGATGTCACAAATCAAAGTCGCTCTAACATAGCTTTCCCCCAACCCCCTACTCCAACTTGAGAGAGGGGTAGAAATTGAAAGCTAGCAATACGTGCGCTGAAAGAAGACACAGCAAAACAACGGCCAGCAGTCCGCCAAGTGATAGCAGTGAAAATGAGCCCAGTCAACTTCTAAAGTTTTTCTTCCTAGCCCGCTTTATGAACCCAAGGTAGCGCGATAGACGCGTGACGCCGCAATGGCAAGGCAGAGACACCCTGACCGCGATGGTCGCTGAGGTGGAAGGCGAGGTTGTCGAGGAGGATGATCTCCCGGCACTGAAAGCGCCACAGGAGTCAGAGCGAGGTGAAGAGAGCTGACCTGGGCAATGCGGACATGGCCAATGGTGATGAAGGCTAAGCGCTACGGCCTAGTGATGGACAAGGGCGGCTGCATGAAGGTCAGCCAGCCTCAGGTGAAGGACAGTGACATTGGCATGACATTCTGAAGGCCGAGCTCTAATTACGGGCAGGTGGTGGACAAGCTTAGCAGGTGACGGACAAGAGCAACGGCACGAAGGTCGAGCACTGCGGCCAATGCTTAACGGATTGAAGGAGGTGCTCAGCGGTTGCGGAGGGAACGAACGCAACATGCGCATCGAGCCCTATGACAAGGTGATGGTCCTGTTCGTCGGTGCTCTTCAACCAGACGAGGAAGTCGATCTTAGATGGGATCCGGAGTTGCGAGACATGTATTATGGGAAGCTGCAGGCAGAAGAACATTTAAACAAAACGGTCGGGGATGCACTGCGGGGAGGTGGTCGAGGTTTTGGAGTGGTCAGGTGTGGATCACTCGGGCTCGGCATTGGTGATCTGGATATGGGCGGGGAACTGGAGCGGACCCTTATGCGAGCGTGCCGCGGAATTCGAGAATTGGAGCAGCAACGCAGCCACTTGAGGAGGAGCTGTCGGTGAGGTGAGAGCTTTGCGATATCAGGACTTCGGTTCCGCCGCCGCCTGTCGCCGGGAAGGTTGAGACCGAGGCACCGGCCAGAAAGACCTGGATGAACAAGAGTTCCGGATGGCCGGCCCTGGAAGTGATGGTTGGAGCAGCTGCCGCTTGGGGCGGATAGTTGGGAGGCTCGGTGGGCGATGCTGGGTGCGGTGAATGGCGGCATCAGTTTGGGAGCCATCGAGGCCGAGCTGGACAGACCGGAGCTGCTGGAACCTTGCTGGAACCTTTCACCTGGCCTGCGCCATACCACCCCGAAACCTCCAAAACCTTCTTTGAACGCGCCAGGCCACCCAGAACCTCCGGAACTTTCAAACCTTGCACCTGGCGCGCCAGACCACCAGAACCTCCGAAACCTTCCTTGAACGCCATAACCCCCGGAACCTTCCTTGAACCTTACGCCTGGTCTACACCCCTTAGCTTTCAGCCGCTCGAAAAGCAAAAGAGAGTTCCCACCTAATCAGCAAATGAGCACGAAACAAAAAGATTGAACAGTTTGAGGAGCCAAACAAATTAGTTGGAGGTTGACATTACCAGCAATTCTGACCCACTTAGCTCCTCGCGCCTCCCTGGCACCAGGGTCTGCTGCAGATCCAGCAGAAGGGCCCCATCCGCTGGAGCGGCATTCAACAGCTGCTGGGCCTGTGAACATGGCTTCTTTGGTTTGCCTTTTAAGTAGCTCAAAACTTTGGATGGCCGGCTTCATGTCAACCAGGCACAATTCAGACAACAAATGCCAACAACCCAGAAAGCAAATATTGTGATGGCACATTCCTGAGTCTGAACTCTGCGTGACCCTTCGTTGTTCGCCCTTTTGCCGTGACCCTATTTTTCGGGGTTCCGAGTGCCAAAAAATACATTTTGACACAAAAAGGGTTGCATGTGCGATTATTTTCTGTTTAGGAGTGGCGTCGGGCAAAACGATTGCGCTGCGATCCTGAGTGAACAAGAACTCATGTACGTGACGGATTCTATTGTTGTGACATGTCATCTGCTTACTTTCGTAACTGCAAGAGTTGGACTTACACAAAAGCATGAATAACGCTAGGGTAGTTTTCTGTGACAAAGCTGCAACCGCGTTGAACTATAGCGAGCGGCAGTGCTCTGGGCACACTCTGTCACGCGCAACGACGGCGGTTTCTATATGTTGGCCATGGTAAATTCATTTCGGCAGCAGGCGTGCCAGCACAAAAGCGAGTACCTTGACATGAATTGTCCGGCTGGAGTGACGATTTGACGGAACACGTTCAAAAGCTGCCACTGGTGAAAGGCAGATTGCTTGGAGCCCTTCTGTCAGCTGTCCATGTGCCTTCCATCCGTTGTCCGACGTCCGCCGTCCGTCCACCATCCACCCAGTCCAGCCGGACCCCATTTTGCATTGGAATACTCTGAAGGTCCTGAAGAAAGCCGTCCAAAAGGCGGACGCGTCCGGCAGCTTTGCTTTGTGTATTGGAGAGCGAGCAAACTTGGGATTGCCTTCTGCTTCAGGACCTCCAAAAAAATGCAACTAACTTTTCGCAGTAATAAGTCTCATGGCGCGCGTAAGAATATTGCTGGCGTTGGCCCTTCGTATTCAATGCTTGGCCCCGTTCATTCATGGTTTGGCCGGGAGTAAATCACTTGCAATTCGTTGTGGTGCTTCGTCCCTCGTTGCGTTCGAGAGATTGGGGTGACCGCTCTGTTTTGAAACTTGGGTATATCCAAAGCATGGCAGTGGCTCTGAATTTCTACGCTTGGGTTGGTGGTTTTAACTAGCCGCTGATAGCGTTGAACTTGTGGAAGCGTGCGAGCGACCGGACTGGTTTGTATCGTTCGCTGCGGCGCCCCAGGTTCTTGGAAAGCCAGCGTTTCAGATGCCCACAGCAGGTCGGCTCTAGATTTGCATCAGAAGCCAGTTTCAATCGGTTGCTTGCCTAGAGGTGGCCAAAATACACACTTTTTGTGAAAAAGTGATAGCTCGTTCGGATGAAGGCAATTGTTTCTTTCTTACGAACGTGCATCCTTTTTAGAGCCAAGACGGCAGGCAAACAAGCGCTACAGAACTCTGATGGGCGCTTGCTTTCTTCAAGCGACTGTCTGATAGCAAGTTTGCTCCAGCGAGATACCGCAGTGTAATATTGTTGTTCCTTCTCAGCACGCGCAGTATGAACCACACAAATGGTCACATTGTAGCGATACAGAAAAAACGCCTCTTCGCAAAAAAAATGTGTTTTGTTAGTGCGACCCCAAAATAAAATGGAGCCTCAGGTTTCAACGCATCCACATGAAGAGCGCATGGGTCGTGGATCTCTGGCAAAAAGAGCTAAGCCCTTGGTGTGATTGACATAAACGCGCCTTCTAAAGTCTAAAAGTCTAAAAGTCTCACTCTGCCGAACGTCTCGAAACCAGCCTGGTGCTCGAGCTCGGCCACCTCAGGCTACGGGGAAAAAGCGCGACTTGACTTCCTCCCCAAAAAGGCGGGGTGACGCAACAAATGGTGGTTTGCATTTGCTTCCCCTTTTAAGCAAACCCCGAAATGGTAATTACCCAATACAGGAAACAACGCGCGCACACACACATGCAATTTTGCTGCGTTTGGCACCCTCGAGAAAGAAATGCCCAGTTGCGATGCATTTCCACGTGGTTTCTTGGCTTTTGGCCAGCTTCTTGCTTTCCTGCTCATTTGCCGAATGGCTTAGCAAAGTAGCCAATCTAAAGAGCGAAATGAACAACTCACTTGCAATCGCATCTGACAGCATGTTCGCCAGGCCGGCAAATCCCCGTTTCTGATCATCCCAACTTTGGGGCATGAAAGCACCTGCGCTGAAACACATACCCACCTACTGCGCACATACACAATTGAAAATAAAAGTACACAACCCAGCTCAGTCCCAGATCTCAGAAACAGATGCATCTGGTCAACAAAGCAAAGTTGTCTTTGGTTACACAGGAAAATTGCAAGTCCGCTGATGCGAAGGCCCCCACGACCACGTGCAAATGGGAGCCTACACCACAAGACGTCGTGGGAGTTCCTGTCCAAGGTTTTGCCAACTCCGTGCCCGAAATCGTGAAGGCGGAACTTTTAAGCAAAGGGAAGCAGGAGGCGTAATTATTGGAGAGTTTGGTGTTGGTCATTCGTCAAGAGATAGCCTCTTCTCACCAATGAGTTGCGGGTACTGGAAACCCAAGCTAATTGCTTTAGACTCCCCAGGCAAACAAGATCTTACGAACCAACTTACATCAACTTCTTGGCTACGCGCAGGGAACTGGCCAAGATCCTCATGCGCTTGGATGTGAATTTCAATTGCCTGGAGAGCAGGCATGCTTGAGAGCGTTCCCCATGGCAATTCTCCAAGACGGCCTCCACTAAGAGCATTATATTAGTGTCTTCGTGTACGTAGCCCATTCAGGCATGGCTTGGGGGCACTGGAGGTACTGGAAAACATCTCCAGGATTCACAGCTACTTGGTGTGTACAGGAAAGCCACTATTTTTTTGGCCTCCCTATTCTGTTTTATTCTGACACATTCCCAGTTGACCTACGCCCTGCGCCCAACCCCAGCCCAGCCTTGCGGCGCAGCGCTTGAATCTCTTCAGCGCGTGCCTGTCGGCCGTGATGCGACAACCCGGAACCGCTGGATTCCCTGACCTCATGGACATCAAAAGTGGGGGCTACTTGGATAAGCCTAGGTTAAGCCACGTAAGCCCTTACTGCCTTAAGAGTTCTTCAGGGAAACTTTGGAGGTCCATGAGCCCCTCATCGAGCCCAGATGTTGCGTCTCTGACTATGCGCCCCACTTCTTGTTTGGGTAGTCAATGGAAATAAATTGACAGCACCAGGCATTCGGCAGCGTTCTCCTTCGATTGACAATTCCTACAGGCAATGCTTTTGCAACGGTCCTGGCTGAAGTGCTGGCCTCAGGCAACTGGCCCGATCATCCACCTGTACAACGTGCAAGTTATCCATCCTGCGCTCACGTTTCAACATAAACTCTGACCTGGAAAAGGAAACTCAGGCGTGTGTTTGGTGTACAGTATGTTCATGGCCTTTGCAGGGCTGCACGGTCGCACAATCACAAAGCACAAGGACCCTGTGCGTAGAGTAGCAAGTTGGGCATGTGTTTAAGCCAGAACCCGCTTCTCCGCCAGCTCAGGGAAATACAATGATCTGAGGTGGCTTCTACTTGTGGGGTTTTGGAGGCAGTGGGCACCATCATAGAAACAACAGGCTCTCCTTGATCTATGACCCGACTGCACATCACTGGCTCCAGGGGGCACAAGCTCCATACAAGCATCAGATTCTTGTTGGCCGCACGGCTTGGAGCAAAGTCCACTTAGCTTGGTTCTCTTGTAAGCTTTCCCAGCTAGCAGCCCAAACGAGGTCGGGAAGGACAGGAAAACTGCCCCATGACATGTTCATCCATCACCCAATTTGAAGCTTGGCTCTGTTTAAAAGACACCAACAGCAGTTTGTTGAAGCAAAAGTTGCTTCAACATGTCGGAGACCAGGTGGTTGGCCCGGCCCTGGTTGACTGGACGAAGCCCGGCCTCCTTCTTCACGGGCACAGCCGCAGCGTGCAGCTCGCTGAGGCGGCAGATGCGCTGCTTTGGTCCCTGCGATGCGAATGGGAGCCCCGCGCTGGGAGCCCAAGGGTACAGGGGGCGTTCCATTTGTGATGGAAATGCAGTGGGAAACGCCCAGCTTAAGGCACAAGCTTGCTTCATCCGGGGTGGATCAAATTACTAGCACACTTGCGAAAGTGGCAATGAAAGGGATCTTTTCCATCGATTTGCTTGGACGCACGACTGCACAATTGCAGCCGGGTTGAGGCTTTCCCTCCACCCAAAGCTTGGACCTGACCCCATGGAACGGGTGCAGTTTCAAAATGCGCGAATGACTCTGGCTGTATACTTGACATGGCCTTCTGAATGATGATCCTGCACCTGAGCATCAAAGTGGGACGTTGGTCCGCGCAATCATTCACCAAAACAGTCTAATCCCAAACTCTGACCCCCTGCAAGCCCATCACACGTTTGAAACACATACTCCAAACACACAAGGCAGGGCTCACACAGACCTCATGTTCAAGGCGCCCATCAAGGCTTCGAATCACTGAAGAACGTTTGAGCATTGGTGGGCTGAAGAGTTGGAAGCCTTCAAGACACTTGCTCCCTTCTCTGATCATTAGCAAGCCAGGCCCATGCAAGTTTTGCAACGTGGTGGCGCTCCAGTCCAACCGCCTGCCACCAAAGCTTCAACCATATGTTGCTCAGGGCTTAAAAACACGCCAGCCGACCAAAAGACAAGGCGCACCCAACTGGCATGGGTCCCGCAAGTGGCACCATGGAACATCTCATGGCTGTTCTTTCGTTCCTCCCGGTTTTGCTTGATTGCCATCCGTGTTTCTGAAATTAGATGGATGATCGCAAGGGCGTGCCAACTCAAAAGAGTCATCCTGAAGGCACCACATTCATTGCCGGACCTATGTCTCCAAACCTGAGGGGTGCGCAGCACCCGGCAGCAAACAAAGCGTCTGGCTATTGCCAGATACGTGAGCCAAAAAAAACGAATTGGATCTGCGACAAAGACTTGAATTAATGCACCGGAGCATCACGCATGCCATGTCCCGGAGCTTGAGGGAAGGTGACACCCCTGGTTGCCCCCCAAAGCGCCCTACATGCTAGCAGCGAAGCTATCAGAAACCTTCTGAAGAGGAAGCGCCCTGGGAGCGACAAATACCACAAAGGGCTGATACCCGTCTATGCAAGTTTCCTAGAAGCAACCTTCATCAAACGCACCTCTGTGGTTGGGAGCCCTGTGTGAAAGGGGAACTCTTACACGGCGAGGCACGAAGCCGCGCCTGGCAACAGAACTCTGCCAAGTATTGCATCACTGGCGACACCCCTGGCACGTCCCTTGGCTGCAGCGCTCCTCCAGCCTCCTGGCGCAGAAGGTGACCCCCGGCTTGCCAGGAGGCAGCCGAAGCACAAAATCCAAGTTGTTCTGAAGCTGAAAGAGCGCGCAAGGTGCACGCGTTGGCAAAGGTGTCAGCGGGAGCTTAGTCATTTACGTAATGGTAGTTTGTACTGTGCTGCCAGAACGGGATTGTTTGCTTCAAAGGTTGGTCTCGGTGAGTGCCGCTTGTATGTCATTTGTCGGTGGCAAAACGATGCCCAAACAACCGGCAGCAATGAGACATGCCGAGAATCCCACAAGGTTGTTGCAAGGCTCAACAGCCCACCTCGTCCGGAGAGCTCACCTTCTGGTTTACTGCCACTGTTCAAGAAGAAACCATCAGCAGTTAAGCTTACCGCCGGAAGCCTGGAGATCCTAGCCTACATGGTTGACGTGGATCCAGGCGGCTGGCCTCCTGCAGCCACTGCTGGTACACTTCTTCCAAGGCAGCGCTCATCTGAGGCGAGAAGCCGAGCCACTGCTTGTCCTCCTAGGGGACCCATGTGCACCGGTTTGAACATCGCAGGTGTTTTTTTTAATGTTAGAGGAAGGTTGAGTAAAGCTAAACCAAATCCTCAGCCCAATTTGGGAAGAATGCATCTGTTCCGCAAGCATACTTGGGATTTATTAGTCTGGGGTCTGGGCGATTCTTTCCAGACAGCTTGCGCTCACATGGGCTGCGCAAAGCGGGTGGGAGAGGGTGCATCAGCCCGACATATGTGCCCCGCTGCTTGGAACAAGGCTTGGAAAACTGCTACAATCACTAAGTCAATCCATGCTTGGCACCCACCAAGACCAACCCGATTGAACACGGCCACCCCAATTCTGGCAACGCAGAACAAACTACAATAGACGCAAATGACGTAAGCTCTCGCTGATACCTTTGTCCACGCATTCCCAAACTAGTCCCTTTCCGGTTTCCGACCCCTAAGGGTCACAATTCTCGAGAGACGGGAACACGCCGGTTGGACACAGCAAATGTCTTTGCCAGGTTTAACAAGCTCGTAAAGGGCCAGCCTTCCCCCTGCTGACCCAGAACTGCAGGGCATATGAAACAACCGGAACTTCACGCAACTTTCACTTGCTTTCATTTTCTGATCCTGTTGGCAAACCTTTCTCGGAAGTTTTCACTGGCTGGGCCACTTCATTCAAAAGCGGGCCGTCTCAAAAGCCCAAAATGACTCTGAGAATCCCAAGCTCTCCTGGAACATCCAAAAGCCACCAGCATCACAGGCAGGAGCAGTCCCCATGGACGCAATGGCTCGCGAAAGCGAGCGCTGGCTTGACTCAGGGCTTCGGTCCTGCCAAAATATCACCCCCAACAATGGAGAAGCATGAGTTGTCGACACATACCAGGGGATTCAGAACCTGGAGCCCCAAAAGGCTTTTTTTTGGTCAAAAAGGCTTTGCCAACAAAACATGTCATACGGCCAAATACGCTTTTTCTTCGGTATGTTTTCAACATGTTATCGATAGAATACGGGTTTTATACGGCCAACTACGGTTAAAACTGGCAATGACCGGGGACAAAAAAACAACTTACGGGCAAAAACAGGCCAGATACTCCTTTTGACCGAGAAACCAAAAAGTGGCTGTTCGGGGTCCCAGGAACCATACCTTACAAGCGCCAAGGTATTGCCAAGGTAAACGACCCGCGGAGGAGAATAACCTGCAAGAAAAGATCCTTCGTGCGCCTAAAGGCACTCAGGACAAGGGTACCCAGGGGCGGCCTAGCAATGCGAAGGCCATGAGCATCGGTTTGGCGGTGACATCGGAACGAGAGTCTTCCGCTTTCTGGGTACCTCGAACCAAAGCCGTCAGGAATGCCCACCCTGCCTCAGGCCTCAGGCTTGCTCTCGCTTGGGCCTGGCAGCGATTTCACGTCGCGTTTGCATCAATTTTCCAGGTGACGAAGTGTTGGGACCCACATGACAGCAAGAGAAGAATGCTGATATGCGGATTTTGCGTTGGGCCGACAACTTGTTGAAGACGCTGCCACCTGAAGACGTGAACATACAAAAAATGTCTTGAATTGATTGGTGGCAGGGTTGTTCCCTTGCAAGCGCCTACCCTGGATCCCAAGTCCAGGCGCGTTGGTTCAAGGGAATCCCATAATTCTAACCTAAGCGAATTCATGCAAGGTTGCAACCCGCCAAACGTGGAAGCCCCAAACCGTACCAAGGCGGCAAGCCCCCTATTCCTCAAATCGGGGGTTATTCCCTCTGCGCAGGCTGCCCCTGCCTCAAAATTAGATTGCGTGCCCATAGGAGGGCCCCCCTTCACTATTTACAACCAAAAACGATAAACCAAGGTGAACATCCGGGCTGCCATGGGGCCTATTGCAGGCCGATTTGCTTTCGACAGCGCAAACCACTCAGTCCGTCCGTGTGTCATCCTGCAAGCCGGCTTTTCATGCTCCGAGTGTGGCGCACACACGTGTAAGCTAGCTGGTTCGTGAGAAGACTTGTGCCGGGCAGGGGGGGCACGCCTTGTTGTGATGGCAGCCTGTTTAAGCCCCTTCTTTGATTTGCTATGATTGGAAGCAACAAAATGGCGGAGAACCGATCCTGAATCCTCAACAAGTAGTGTATGCCCAAGCATGACATGTGAGGCTTGGATTTGCCAGCAGCTTCCTCCCACTCTTCGGTAGGTTCCGGCGGAAGCTGCCAAACGTGAAACTGGCGAGTGCGACCTTCCCACAACACGCTGATGGCATCGATTCTATGTAGGTGCAACGGGAAATGATATGTTCTATTATCTCGTCAGCGGGTTCACCAACTTGCTCAGATCAAATGTGACTTCAGCCTACTGTTGAATGAGCATGCCAAAAGTAAGAAGAAATAGCAAGTAACTTCTCGGATCGCATCGCCACGCCGCTTGCGAGGCCAGAGTGGGGCGATGCTTGAGTCAGGGTTGCCGTTAATAGCAAGCAACATGCTGTTCATGACTTATTGGCAGAAGGGAAGGACAAGGATAAATTAAGTGCACACTCAACGTTGAATGCAAAGTTCATATCTCGATTCCAACTGCTTTCGAAGGCTTCAATCGGGCAAGCCTAGCCAACCTCCTGACAGCAGGCAAACAAGTTGTGCACAGCTTGGATTGGAGCACCCTGCGCCGCTTTCAGGTCAGCACACAGTAAATAGTTTGGACGGGTCCCGTTTAAGCAGGAGCTCTCGAGCCAAGCTATTGACAACAGTGAGGTGTTTATGCAAAATGCTGCACGTGAGTCGTCTCGTGAGGCCTTTATGACATGCCAAGCTGTATCCCTATGGAATAGGGGTCACCACCCCCAGAAAGTCGACTGATGCCGTACGTAGATGCTCAAAGCTGCTTGCCTGCTGGCTTCCAAAGGGCAAATTATTTCGCCAATAGCGAATGGCGAGTTTGTATCTTGCGCTTTGTACAGTGCGCACATTGCGTTCATCTTCACTCCTCGAGAGCTGAATGTGTTTCTTAGGGGCCGCAGAACCGCAGTACAAAACGGTCTTGCAAGAGCAACAAACTGTCAGTTACCACATAATACTTTGCGCATTGCTGTGCTGTGCCGACCCCGTCAAAACTATCGCCGCTACTCAAACCAGCACAAGGTACCACGCACTGGGCAATCTTGCCAAGAGAAGAGAGCATCGTCTTGGAGAAGTCCGGAAGAAGGACAGCACGCAAAAGTCATCAACTCAAGCAAGTAGGCTTAAAGAAAGGAGGGCAGAGCACCAGAGAGTCAAGACAAGAAATAAGGAATTTCCCAGCGAAATGGGAACTCAAACATGGGCAACGCCGCATGACCATACATCTGACCCGCGGCTGCTCAGTTGCTGCCCTCCTGCTGCTCGTTGTCTTTCAAGTTTTCCTGGCGTCAAAAGAGCCCGAGTCTGCTCAGGAATGTGCTCAGAGTTGCGCTTGATCCGGTGCTCTTCACAATTTTCTTTTGCAGCAATCCCTTGCTCCAGCACTTGCTGCTGCAACCCACTTCATTACTTGCATCCACATGGCACAACCATGCAAAGAGGCAAGCGAAAATGATTGCCCAATGCCGTTGGGCAAGCACACACGCATGGCAGGACCCAGCGTGTCATCTCAATTCGCCGGGGAGTTCGAACAACAGCCCACGTCCTGGGTGTCAAATCTGCTCTCCTTGCTCTCGGATCCCTCTTGAAAGTCCCCTCCGGTGGTTTCCTGAGCTGCAAGCAGACATGAGTCAAGCCGTTCCGCAACCTTCAAACAGCCCAAGGCCCAAGTGATGCAGGTCTGTTTTGAACACTGCATGCCGCTAGCAAAGTTCTTACAAAAGGACTGTATGATGCCACACACTTCTAGTCGTTGGCCAGAATTTTGCGGAATTGGGACGAACCCCGGTTTGAGAGTGGCATGCCGATGAATCCTAGCGCTTCCAACTGCCACCGTAGAATTCGTCAGAAGGAACAATCATGCAAACCTGAAGGTTCATACTAAGCGTTCAGTACTTTGGGATGCAGGAATGACTTTCTAGAAATTCAAGTCGGTTTTTGCGACAATCTTTCGGACAGGTACGCGAGACCTGCCGACATTGACATTTGACTCGCAGGACCGAACCCAAAAGGCCCCTTGACATGGAACGGATCACGGTCCCATTAGGGCGATCATCCTGGCAAGTTCCGTTGACTGATCATGGGTACTTAACAATTGAATAACTTTGACCCATGATGCTGCGTGGCTTTTGAGAAACAAGGCTTTTGAGAAGCACGAACCACAAAACAACAACTCCCGCGCACATGAGCGGACACAATCGCTTCGGTTTTGTTTCTGGCTTCTCTCGGCCGGGCATCGGTGTCCCCCTCTGCCTCGGACTGCGCCGCCAGCTTTGCGTCCACCTTGGCCTCAAGAGACTTCATACGCTGCTCCAACTGCTCCACGCCGTGCAGGAAGGCCTCGCATCCACAAGGTTCCTTCTGTTCCTCGATGTGTTTTTTTGACATCACCTTTTGGGCTGAGTTTCCGTTGGTGAGGTGATGTGTTTTGGTAAACGCTGGGCACCCTGACACAGGGGCTCTGGAGCCATGAAGGTAAGGTGACAGGTGCGCGAAAGGTTCCATAGGCATGGCTCTTCAGTTTGAAACGTCCTTTTTGGGCGTCCTGTTGGGAACATCAGTGGCATCCAAGGGAAATTGACGGGGGAACCGCCAAGGCCTGTGCTCTCTTGCGGGCAGGGGGGCTCAAGCCTTTCCAAATGACCCGGGAAACAAGAGAAACGTCTGCTGGCTCACCTGCAACCGATTCCACGGCTTGTTGAAAAGCTGTTTTGTAGCCACCAGGCATGGCTGCCAAAACCGGGGAACGAAGGGAATGCTAGATCGACGCCCCTTGGACCAAGCATGGGTACGCTTCGGTTTGCTGTTGGTCGTGGTGCTCTCTGGGATCCCAAAGCTGCCCCATTGCTGTAATGGACCGCTTCCGGCTCAGGGGCGAACCTGACAGCAGTCATGGCCATCTGCCAGACATTGGCTACATGCTCGCCTTGGACTACTCCGAACAACTCGTCCTGGTGAGTTCCATGGCAATGCGGGAGGAGAACATCTCCCAGGGTTGGGCCCTTGCCCCACTCTACTCACGCCTTCGCAACATCTTGACAAAGGAGCCTGTGCCGGCCAATTGGCAACAACACTCCCAAACGGTAAAAGCAACAGTGGAAACATGTAAAGTGGCCAAAAGAGATTCCCTTCAGCTCTCAAGTTGGCTGTGCAAAATCAAGCAAGCCAGGCATTGCCGGGTGTGTCATTCAAAGCAGAGAACTTCGGAAAACGTTTGTGCACAAACGGTCAACCGCAAATCAATCCCGAACAAGCCCTCAAATATACTTGTACCCCTTGCAGGCTTGCAGGGGTTCCTAAGCTTCTACAAAAAATCAGGTTAAGTCACCATCCCCTGGTTTCGGCAGTTATGGCTATTTGGCACAAAGTTCACACCTTTCTTTCATCTTTGGGGCAACCCTGGATCGGGCGAGAGGCAGACATGCCGCTGGAGACGTGCATATCGCTCTGCTGGAGCTCACCTAATGCAGAGTTGGCTCTCAGCAGAACGCCGCATGGGCATGGCCAAAAAGGAATCAACATATATGGGGTGTTCCTTGTTTTGTGTTTGTGTTTTGGGGGGGACGGGGCTTTGCAAACAAGTTGATTTTCCTAGGCCTGACACCTCGCTTGACATCGACGAGCCCTTGAACGCTGGCATTTGACCATGCTGAAGGTTGCACAGGTCTAAGTTCCTAGCCACCAATGCGTAGTGGACATGCTGCGGGTCTTGAACGGGCATAAAACTAAAATGCAGGCCATCTGCAAAAATCGGTGCGGAGGAACTCCGACAGTGTCTTTGGGAAAGGAGCCCTGGTAATGTGCAATTCCATCCAGAAGCCCAGGCATAAACTGAGTGGCCCAACCGCAGAAGCAAAATACAAACCTTGTTTCCACGTTTCGCTTTTGGTGCCGACCGGAATGCACAAAAGAGGCAAAAGGCTGCCGCATGCCGCCGCATGCTGAAAATAAACAAACGACCACCCCGACGAAACCCGTGGAACAAAAGGCTTCGCACAAAAAAACCGCTTGCTTCAAGGTTCCTCCCACTGAGTCTGTTTTAGTGTATCGTTGCTGTCCAGCAGTAGTGGCAGTGGGGCCCACTCTCGCAATCGGCTTCGCGCTGGTGCGAGGAACCACATTTAAGTTTGGCCACCTTTTCGGGACCAACGACTCGACGTGACCTGAAACAAGTTGACTGTAGCCACCTGGAAATTAAACCACTATGGGACCGCAGGTTTTAGTCCATGTTTCCATTTACCAGGGTTCCATTTTGGGTACCTTTTTTGACCCACAGCCACATGAGATGAGGGGATCCCC